TATTTTATTAAATTCGAAACGAGGCAGCGAACTCGCCAATTCTAGAATGGCGTGAGGCGTTTTAATTAGTGTTTGCGAAAGCGAGACAGCCAAATTAATCACAAAGGGAGGTATCGGATCTTTGTGTAAACAGTTGGGAGGATTAAGTGTTCATGTTCAAGTGTCATTTAATAGATGTGTTAATCTTCAGTGTCTCGGAAAACACTGAGTGCGATATTGCTCAGATGTTGAAGAGAGCAGTCAAGTTATACTATCGGGGGGTTAACAATGGATAAAAAGTTTATCGTCAACAACCGAAGCTAAAACGTTGTTGCGACACCAAGTGGTTTTAAAATTAAAAAGACCAGCGAACGAGGATTTAACGAGAAAAAACTCCTCTTTTATTTTCGAGCGGAGTTTAGCGGTAAAAATTTTAGAGGGGTCGATAGATTCATTATCGAAAACGAGTTTATTTCTAGAAGACCAAACAGCAAGGAGGGCTATATCACGGAGGGCAATTGCGGGCGAGTAAATAGGAGAAGGTTTAATACTAGCAAAACCGATGACAATAAATTGTTCTAAAGAATCTAGATTTAGGTCTAAATCAAGATTTTTAATATGCGAAAGGACGGTGTCCCACAGAAGCGAAACTAGACGGCAATGCATAAAGAGATGTAGTGTAGTTTCATTATGGTTATTACAGCGGGGGCACAAAGGATTGTCGATAATTTTGTGCCTACCTAAACGATCGGCAGTGGGAATAGCGAGTTGGATTATTTTCCATTGCAGGTCGCAAGATTTACGGTCGGAATCTCTAGTAAATATCGATTTCAATATAAATTTCCAATCAAGATCTGGGAATTTCTTTTCCCAATAAACACGAAACTTTTGGGAAGAAACATCAGTTGAGGACATAAGAGATGCGAGATACAAGTCTTTAGAAGATAATTTACAAAGCGGCTTTTTAATGTCTTTAATAGGCGGAGTGAAATTAATAGAAAAGCGATCTTTAGGGGCAGAATTGGAACGGATGAAATTTTTCCATTGAAGGGGAAGGCATGATAAAATGGAAGAAAGGTCTTTAGGCTTAAATTTACTACCAACTAATTCATTGATAGCGAGTTCAGGGAGAAAACCAGGGGAAAACTCGTAGGTAATATCTCGTAATAAGGTAATTCCTGCCTCCACCCAGTAGGGGTTGAGAGGTAGACTATCTGTCGCGATTTTAGGGTTCAGAAAAAGGGGTTCGTTAAAGATTTCAAACATGTTATCTAGAGATCTATTATGGTCATTAGTAATAGCGAGATATGCACGGAGGGTGTGTTTATAGAAGGGAGGTAGTTTGTTTATTTCGCGGGACTGTAAATAGCATTTAAGGATATTTTTTCCGATATTTAGATTTTTGTATTTTCCTAAGAAATGGTCAAAGAGAACTTTCCATTTGCCTGTTTGTTCGGGGGCAACGAGTTTGGCTAGCCATGATAAAAGGAGGCTGTTACATTTTTTCTCTATATCAAGAACATTGAGGCCACCTTCTTGATAAGGTAGTTTAGCTTGAGATCTAGGGATCGGGGGTCGTTTGCCGTTAAAAAAGAAATGCCAAAGTTTTTCATTAAGTTGTTTGACTGCCCATTGGGGTATTGGGAAAACCGAAGCTGTATACCAGAGTGCAGAGCTTGCAAGCTGATTAACGACAACGGCCTTCCCCCTAAAGGTTAAGTCACGCGACTTCCAAAGATCTAATGTTTTAATAAATTTAGAAACTTTAGGTTCCCAGTTCAGTTTATTTGTGTCTTCAGTACCGAAATAGAGGCCAAGAATTTTGAGGCATTTCTTTTTCCAGTTAAAACCTAGAGGGGAATCGGGGCGGTTTTTAAAACTACCAAGCCAGAGGCCTTCACTTTTATCTTTGTTTATTTTAGCACCAGAGGCTTTTTCATAGTTCGCGATGTGATTTTCAATTGCGAGTAAAGATTGGTTACCTTGAAGAAGAAGGGTAGTATCGTCTGCGTATTGTATAATTTTAAATTCAGTTTTACCGACTGTGACGCCCTTAATTGCGGGGTCACAGCGGACATTAGCAGCGAACACCTCAGCAATGAGAACGTAAAGAAGGGCAGAGAGGGGGCAACCTTGTCTGACACCTCTGCTAGGAGTGAAAGGGTCGGAAATAAAATCGTTACATTTAACTTTGCTTTCAATGTTAGTGTATAGAAGTTTTACCCAGCTAATGAAAACAGGACCGAAATTGAATTTTTCAAGTGTTTTAAGGAGAAAGTTCCAATTTACACGATCAAAGGCTTTCATTTGATCAATAGATAATAGAGCGACTGGGAGATTTTCATTTTCAGAGAATCGAATAATGTCTCGTAAAGCATGGCAATTGCCTAAAATTGAGCGGACGGGAACAGAGCAAGTTTGGTCTTCAGCTATAATGCTAGTTAGGACTTTCGAAAGACGATTTGCTAGAACTTTGGCTATGATTTTATAGTCACAATTTAAGAGGCTGAGGGGGCGCCAGTTTTTAATGTTTTCTCTGTCGCCTTTTTTAAAGAGGCAAGAAATTAAAGCAATTCTTTGAGAGGGGGTAAGGGATTTGTTATCAAAGCAAGAGTTAATTACGTTTAAGAAGTGTCTACCGAGAGATTTCCAAAATAGTTTGTAAAATTCACTCGGTAATCCGTCTATTCCTGGAGATTTACCATTTACCATAGTTTTTAAGGCAGTGTTTATTTCTTCGAGAGTAAGTGGGTGCTCGCAAATGTTTTTCTCAGTTTCTGAAAGACGTTTACTTATTTTTTGTTAAAGAGTATCCTGAAGATTTGAGTCGACTGGCTCTTCTTTATAGAGAGAAGCATAAAATTCTTTGACTACATTCACTATTTCAGTCGGGTCAGAGATGGATTTATCATGTTTATCTTTAATTGATTTCATTGTACGGTCGCTTTGTCGTTTCTTTTCAAGGGAGCAGAAATATCTTGTGACTTTTTCGCCTTGTTCGGACCATTTAGCTTTTGACCTAATTTTCACCCCTTCAGCTTCGGAGGCTTCTAGGGATTTCACTTCGTTGCTTATGTTTTTGTAAAGCTTCTGAAATCGAGGGTCCCCTGAACTCTCTGCCTTTCTTTTCGCATTTCTGAGTTGCTTGAGAAGTTTAGATTTTTTGCGGAGAAAATGTTTCTTTCGATCTCTAGAATATGTTTTGGCAATGTCAACAAAAGTGTTTTTGCCGTGTTCCCACCATTCGGTTAATGAGGGGAAAGACTCTTGAGATTTTTCCCAGTCGGTGATAAATTGATTAATGGAGTTGATGAATTCTTGCTCTTTCAAAATGCAAGTGTTTAATTTCCATATACCTGGCCCACGTTTAGGGGCTGAGAAGTTGAGGGAAAGAGAAATCCTATCATGATCAGAGTGAGAAAAGGGATCGATGCGGGGTTTATTAAAAATGTCACGAAAATCCCTTGAAGTGTAAAATTTATCAATTCGACTAAACGAACCACGGGAACTAGAGAAAGTAAATTCCTTAGAAGAGGGGTTTTGTATACGCCAGATATCTT